TGGAAATGTCCACATAGATTTAAGGACACTAATAACCAAAAATTATGCCCGCTTTTATAGAAAAGAAATTCAGTGACTGCCTGGAGGACAGTGCGGTGGTGGCCAAAGAGTTGACGCTTATATTGCTTCAGCCTTTGGTTCACGTCCTGTGGTCCTGTGGTAAGTGTATGCCAAGCTCTGCTCATACCCTCCACTCACCTTCAGGACAACCTGTGTGGCCCTGTCATTTTCCCCTTATAAAGACTGGAATTAAACATACACAGGGTACCTCCCCTGTCTTTTCCAGAGCCTCAGCATCTCAAGCCCCAATCAGACCCTAGTCCTTCTGCCCCAAATTGCTTACTCTGAGCTCCAGACTGTTCAGCCTCTTGTGGAAACCGGAAGTCCTATCCTCCTTGACTTCCTGCTACTACTCTATCCAGGCAGAGTGAAGTCATGGCTCAGGCAGCCCTCAGCCCTAGGTCTCCTGCATTGCTGACCAGCTCTTACACAGCTCTCATCTCCACCCATACATCCCCCCATTTCCCACTTCAGTGCGCTCTGAGTTCCAGGCACTGTGTGACCGGCAGGCTATCCAGGAGCTCTCTGCTGTTCCTGTGCCATCCTTTCCAAGAGACAGGATTCAGCGTTGCTGGTACCCAGACCTAGGACCCAAAAACATTGTCCTCCACTCTTCACCCAATAAACCCTGGAATCAAAACACCTGCCCCAAACACTTTAGGTTTTTAGCCCATAACCACAGATCAAATTTTCCTTCAAAGTCTTCCCACTCTCAATGGAGTTTATATTTGCTTTGGAGAGAAATTTGCTTCCTCAATCCTTTTATTACTTGATACACTATACAGTAATAGACTAGATTATATCTTTTCTGGATTGCATGGGAAAGATTTTAAAATAGATCCATTCTTTTAAAATATTTTATTTGGTCCTTATTGGCTTGGGAATCAATGTAAAAGAATATGTTTATTTGTTTTCTTAAAATATATTGTTAAGAGTTTTTATTTCATAAGCTTCATCAATCCCTTTGAAGTATTTATATAGTTGAAAGAAAGACACAAGACCCACATTTCTGGCAGTGAGCCGGCTGCAGTAAGAGTTCAAAGGCTGTGAACCACATCAAAACTCCCAGAGTGGAACACCTGGATGGGGCGGACCTTGACAGGTGAGATTTGGGGAACAGCAGCCAGAACCAAATGAAGAGAAGAAGGCAAGTTTGGTAATCCCCAGACTAGGGGTCTCCCCGCCCATATCCAGCAACAGCCTCTGCCCCACCTACATCTGCTAGAGAAGTAGTAACAAAAATCCATACAAATAGATTCTACCTTTTATGCGCCATCCAAATTGGGAGGTCAAATCAATATGATGTGACATGTAGGCAACTAGTTTTTTCCCTTATTACTTCGGATATAGTTAATCTAAAATCCTAACCATATAGAATATTAGCCAGCATTCTGCTTTTGTAGACAAAAATGTGAGTGACAAAGCAATGAAAGCTAATCATACAAAATAAACTTTTGATATATCTGGGGTCAGCCCCTAAAGTTAACAGCATGCTAAATGTACCCACCAGCTTGTTATAGAGAGAGAGGCAGATATGACCCCGTTGTTAAACTGAGAAACAGGAGGGAGCCCCTGTCTTGGGTTCACCTGCACACAGCAGCGTTTCCTGGACCAGAGATGGACAGGGTAAAATCTGGGCATGGCACTGCAAGTATGAGAGATTCAGAGATGATCCATAGTAGCCTCTTTTTTTCAAGGTAAGAAAAGTGGTTTTGAGGTGTTTAGGTGCAGTCTATTCGTTTCGTAGCTTAATCCTCTGGTCTAGAGGCTGTTTTCTTACTGGGGATCCAAACACCCTACTCTAGACCACACTACTTCTTGGTGCTGGGATTGGTTCACCTTTCCATTGCCTCACACCCTGCCTGTTTTATTCAAACCATGAGCCCAGGTTAATGTGCAGAGCAAGCTGTATTTCTGCCTCATTGATCACTAACACCAGAGTCTATAGGGCATGCTAAAGAATGGATTCACTCATTCATGGAGCACAGGTGAGTGATAACATTATGAGATCAAATACTTAATCATGCAAAATTGACATAATCATTCAGATTACCCTGAAAAAACTAGTTGCCTACATGTCACATCATATTGATTTGACCTCCCAATTTGGATGGCGCATAAAAGGTAGAATCTATTTGTATGGATTTTTGCTTTGCTGATTTATTTATTTAAACACATTTTTTTAACATGTGCATTGCACAGTGCTGAGTGCTTGAGGAGAATAGTAATTGCAGTTTACTGGGTGCCAGCCACATGCCTTGTAGTTTATATGCATCATCAGTCTCCCTCATACCAGAGTCTGTGTGAACACCATCTAACTAGCCATGATCAATCCCATTTTAGAGAAGAAAATGCAGTGATCTGAATTTTGGGCCACTTGGCCAAGCTCACATCAGAGCTGGAATTTGAACCACACCTGAACCCAAAGTCCAGGCTCTGAGACACACCCTTCACTGACTACTGCTGTAGGAGATATAACTGTCTGAATGAACCAACTGGAAATAGAATCCGCTAAGTGTTTTAGAATAGGCACAAATGTCGTTCTATAGAACCAAAAGGAAGAGAGATTACTCTTAGGTAAATGGACCACGAATCCTTTGTGTAGAGTGAAGTGTTTGAGTTGAGCTTTGAGCTATTGGAGTTCATAAAATGAAGACAAAGAGGATGGAGAGGTACAGCACAAGGCTGAGCAAGCTCCACCTCCTAAGATCTTGGAAAGTAGCAGGAGATAGTCGAAAGATGATGTAGAACACGCAGGGTTTATTTTTTCTAGAGATAATAAAAATATTAAGAAGGCCAATCTTTATCCTAACAGACACATTCATTCCTATCGTGGAGCACCACTTCCCGAAATGTAACTCAAACATCATAAATGAAAAATACCTGCCAAATGAGAGAAGGACGGGCAGCTTGGATTTTGTTTCCTCGTTGCTCCCAAACCTGCCTCCTTAGGAGGTCGTGTGGGGTCTGTCCAGTCCAGCTGTGTGTTCAGCATCTCCAACAGAACTGACCCCACGACCCCTGAGTGGACCACTCTTAATCTCTCAGTGATTCAAGTTCAATCTACATTACCAAAACCATGTGGCTACCTCCCTTCTACACCTGTTACCCACTAGAAACATATGCTACTGAAAACACACATGCCCCTGGGGACCTCTCTTCATCACTTGTCCATCCACCCAACAGCAGTCAGCAAGAGTCCACTGGCAGGTATTTGGTTGGGTTCTAGGCACTCAGGAAATCTACACTTCAGCCTAACTTCCCAAAGTAGAGTGGGGCTGGTATAATTAAATGGGTGCAGAAAACACAAGGATCTGTACCCACTTGGTACCTCCCTACAGACTCTGGGAAGCATCACAGGACAGCCACTCCCTCATGGCCATCCTACAACTGATTTGGTTGGGGATGATGAGGGACTATGTTATTAAAGCTACAACCATCCTGACTTATCCAATGTCCTAGCCTTTTACAGCAACAAACCTAGCTTCAGGCTCTGTCTACACATGGAAAGTCTGCTGGATGGGGTGAGGGATCGTGCTATTTCATAGACACTGCTAAACCCAAGGAACAAAGGGCTTAAGGTCACATGCAGCATCAGGGCCATGTCAGGCTGGTACTGCTCCAGGTCCTTCTCACTGACATATAATCCCCATCTCTTGGGCCTGCTCCATGGCACCCCTAGTCTTTTATTTGTGATAGACCTAGAGCTTGTGCTGGAAACTCTTTCCCCAGCCCTGTTCATGCACAGAACTCTGCCTGAACCATGGACATCAAATGATGGTGGTGGTCAGAGCCTGCCTCATTGTCCACACCCCACCATTTCATACCTGCCTTTGCTTAGCACCCCAGTTTTGGAAAGACACCCCCCTATACACATAGTTTAAATAGGCATGGTCCTTATGTTTCAGAATAACTCATCTGCCTTTGTACAGACCCTCAGGCACCAGGTCTAAGGGTCAAGGGCAGGAGCGACGGAACAGAGACAATAATTTTGTAGCACATGAAAATCCTTGGCTGATTTTCCTTCAACTCACCATATTCTTACTCACTGTACCACACAAGCTCAAGGCCATATTCTTTCCTTGAGTTTTCTGGATTGAAACCCTTGATAGAGTGGTCATAACTCAAGACAAATCCATAATGTAATTCTGCAGGTATCATTTTCTAACGTTTCTAGAAAGATTTACCACTCCTGGAAGGAATTTAAGTCAGGTCCTGCACCATCTCCATGAGCTTGGCTCTGCCTCAACATCCTGTGGGTTGCCCAGCCTTTCACAGATGGTCCCAGGGAGCAGGATTGGCACTGCTGGCCCCTGGCTCCAGGAGCTCTGTAGGTCAGGATTCCGACACTGCAAAACATGACAGTTCTCCCTGGGCACCTGCATGGCTCTCTTTCCTAGTTGCTGAGCCCCCAGCTTGTACCCTACTCTGCCCCCTGCCCAGGAAGACACTGGCCCAGACCACAGAGGGCAGCATCCCCGCATTGCCCCCACCGGGACTAAGTTGGCGCAACTGGAGTCACTTTCTGGAAAGGCTCCAGTACCAACCCTTGTGAGCGCAGCCCCGCACACACCGGCTGGCACTCCTTCTCAGCTGGAACACGTTCACATAGTCGCCCTGTACAGTTCGCTTTGCATGTCGCCACCCGCAGACACACAGGCTCTGCTCTTGTCACGAAAAGGAAGAGCAAGAGCTGCCTCTGTGGTAGCCAAGTTGGGCTGGGGACTCTGGGGGAGGGGATGCCCCGCGGCTATTGACCCAGGGTCTCGAGGTCCCCGGTGGCACCAGGTGCACTGCGAAGGTGGCAGGGACCCGACTTGGCACCCCAGCGCGGCCCGTCCCTCATGTAAGGCGGTATCCCCGGCCTGCTCCGGCCAACCAGGGCGCACGCACGGTTACACAGGGATGCACGGCCACCGACCGCACCGCGCGCCGCTCACCTCTGGGGGACTGGTGCTGTCGCGCCGATCGCCCCGCCGCAGCTCCGCATCTCCTAGGTGTCTACCCGCCGCCCTCCTGGGCGCCCAGCGGTCCCCGCCTGGCGCGAAGGAACGTACAGGGGTCGCGCGCAGGCGGCGGGGTCCTGGCGCCGCCTGCGACGCCTCCTGCCTCCCGCTGCCCGCCGCCTGCCGCCCGCAGCCTAGAAGGAAATTTGTCCGGCCAGTCCCGCCGCCTACTCGGCTGTCGCTCGGGCTCCAGTTGGTGGCGGGGGCGGGGACCCTGACTGCGAGGAGCGGGGGCGACGCCTGGTGCCCAGCAAGGGGAGCGCACCCTGGGCGCCCGCCCTTACCCGGCGGTGGCGCCGCCCACCGGGCATGACCTAGAGGACATAGAAGCACCCAGGCTCCCTGGAAGTCCTTTCCCAGGTTGGTGCCGCTTCTGGGAGAGCCCTTGGCCCACCCCCTCTGAGCCGGCCCAGCTGCATAGGGAGGGTGCCACGGTGTGACTGGCACTCTTACCATGCGGGAAAGAAAAAGTCAAGGTCCTTCCTGTCCAGCCTTGGCTCTGGGCACCCGGAAGTAGACTGACTGGAGAAATGCTCCATGTCTTGCAGCTGGCAGCAAAGAGTGCAGGCGCCAGGTAATACTCCTGTATTGGGGGAATTTAGTAAAGCTATGAAATCTGAGCATAGTGCCCTCCTCCATAAGAGGAAATGAGAGTGTCCCTTGGTGCTGTAGGAGAGGATTTCAGCGTCAGTAAGGTACTTGCTGGTAAAGTTAAACATACAAGAAGAAGAGACACCGCGGAAGGCTCGGAACTACTGTTCTGGGGACTTACTAATGATTTAATTTTGACTATTTACAGAGATTTCAGAGAGGAGGAAATTCAGATAGCTGGGCCCATCTGAGTTCCAAACCTCTGTGCAGTGTCCTGTGGATGGACCAAGTCTCAGCCATCAAGGGGGATGCTGCTTTCTGTGGTGGGGGACTTTGCTCATTAATCTTATGGATGACTAAGGAATGAACGAATGAAAGAAAGGCAAGAAAGTGTCTCTTAGGAACATTATCCAACCCACGTCAATAGCCACATAAGTATCTTTTGACTCTTGGGTCTAGTTGGGGACAGATCTGCAGACCCAAAGACTGCAGATAGCCAGGAACCTACTGACTGAGACCCTCAGTTGAGCTGCTCAGAATGACTTTCCTTCCACACAGACAAAGCTATGAAGCTAACCAAGAAGGTGAGCTCAACCTTCCTTCCCTGCCCTGCACACATCCGCCCATGGAGCCTTTACAGAGCTATAAATACCATCCAGTACTAAGAACTCAAAATTTTGCAGCTCTGGGGTCCTCTCTCCAACGCAGGCTTCTGAGCTCCTGGCTCCTCCTGGTGTCTCCTGTCATCTCAGATCCCAGTCCTGCTCTAACTCACAGTCATCCCTGTCTCCACTTCCACCTTTGCTTCTGATCCATCTCCCAGTCTACTTATTATCTAGCTTCTCAGTGTGTTGGAGATGTACCCCTTCCCACCCCTCACTATCTTCACTTCTTCTGCAGCTGCTGTGCTCCTCCAACCTCAGACAGACCCCTGCTAAAAAGTGTCCATTCAGAATAAATCCCAAACTGCCATGAGGATCTGCCTGATTTGCCAGCTGATCCCACGCTCCTGATCACCTGCTGTAGCCATTGCTCTTCTCTCTCGGTGCAGAGCTAAGCTCCTTCCCTCCTTGCTGCCTGGAGCTCTTTTCTCCTTTGTGCTATTTTAACAATTGCCTTTGGAAGATGCCCCTCTCCTTTCTGCCTCTCTCCTTCATAGTCCTCATCATGATGTAAGATTATTTATGAGTTTATTAGCTCCATTAGTGTCTGTCATCCCACTTCTCTTGCACCCAGGGCTGAGGCTATAGCACCCCAGGCTGCCCCAGTCTCTATCCTTGAGCTCCTAACCCATTCCATAGCCAGGAGATTCTCAATGAGCTCATGTGGGCTGTCAGAACAGAAGAGAATGGGCCCCAGCAAGGAGCAGCAGGCAGCCTTGTTCCCTGGGAATCCACTGTATGTGTGTGTGTGTGTGTGTAGGGGGTGGGTCCTTCTGACCATGCCCTTAAGGCCCAGCCCAGGTTGGATGGAGTTAGGTGGCCCTGTGATGTCACCCAGCTCTGGATTTTCCTGCAGTTACAGCTGCAGAGGCAGACTACATACAAGAAGGCAATGGCTTCAAAGGTCTGATAAGCACAGTTTTGCTTGTTAGCACTGCAGGGCTGGAGAGGCAGACACTGTGATGCACCAAGGGAGAAACATGTCGGCTTTGTCAGACATCTGCTGCTGGAAAGTGAACAGCCTTGGGAACATGATGAGGAAGCAGATGGTTTTTCTCTCCTGATAACATCCTCCCTGTTGGACCCCAAAGATTCTTCTAGGAATTAAGCAGTGTTCCTTACCATCTTCTAAAGTCTATAGACATCATGTCATGCAGAGACACAGGTGTCACAAGCACTTATAGCAGAGTTGTACGGAAGCCCCTTGATCCTTTACCATCTTCATTGCCCTCTCCCGGTTCAGGTCCCTTTTGGCATACGAGTCAATTCCTCTGTCTTCATCCTAGGCTCCAAGAGCATCTCCTGCCTCTTGCTGAACATGTAACCACACTCATCTTTAAGGACCCAGGGCACAGCTTTTCTCTGGTCTGCAGCTTCGTCTGCCTGACCAAGCACACCTTAGGCCTGCCTGATGCCATCCACTTGCCTGATCTCCCACATCCTCTTCTACAGCCAGCCGCCGTGAGCAGCTCTTTCCCATAGGATACTGTTCCAGGTGGTATTCTTTTGACTGTTAGTATCTCTTGTAGGTGTGTCTTGTTTTCCGTTGTACTCCAAGCCTAGGCCTTTATAACTCCCTGCAGTAAATGGACAATGTTTATCATGCTTACTTGCCTCTATAGGAATGCAAATGCTGAGACTAGAAATGCTTTGTATGAGAATAAGCAATAAAAGGGAAAATTGATGAGTGCAAAGCAAGTAAAAATTTGCCTTTAAACAATAAAATTATTCAAGTTAAGGAGAAAAAAAATTCAGATCTTGGCAATTGGCTGTAAGACAAGTTGACAAGAAAAAATTGAGACAGCACTGGCATCTGTTGTGACCTTGTTCAGGACCTGTGCCCTCAGTGAGGGGGCTAACTTATTTTGATCTCTAGAATGTACCAGAATGAATAATTCTAATGGATCCAGAACTTTTAATTTTTACATTACCACAATTCCCTCTCCCCTGCTTTTGTTTGTTTGTTTGTTTGTTTGTTTTGTTTTGTTTTGTTTTTCCCCGTACTGGGAATTGAACTCACGACCTTGCGCTTTCCAGGCAGGCGCTGTGCCACTGAGCTAAATCCCCAGCCTCTCCCCTGCTTTTTCCAAGATATGCCTAAATACTAACAGTTATTACTCCTTGAAATCAAGACAAACCCTTTATTGGAATATTCCTCTGTTTGTCCAGAAAAAAATAGCCATACCTCATTAGGCCCTCACAATATTTAATTATTTTTATTGGATTATTTTTCATTGGTGAATAATGTACATATGCTGTACAGATCATGGTCTTATGCATCAGCCAAGGTTTCTTTTGCCTAACTTCTTGACAAAATGGCAGGATCTAGTTTGGCCTTCGATTTGGAGAAATCAGTAAGACAGAAAATAAATACATAAAAGAATGGTTTCCAGACCTTGGACATCAGGTAGCACAGGGATGTGATTCCTGAGAAAAAAATAAGTAAATGAGGTAAGACCAACAATTACTTCATGACGTTTCCAAGGGAGAACTTCCAGATTAGGCTGGGAAACCAAAATGGATGTTGCAACCTTCTTTAAAAAACAGATCAAATGTAGGGAGGCCTAAGTGGCCAGAATTGGTGCTGAGTGCTAAAGAGGGAAGAGCTGCAGAGAAAAGCTGTACAGGTGGACAGAGGGATGTATTGTTGGAATCTTTGGTTGGTTTTCATGCACATACATAAAAGCAAGCTACTGAAGAGCAGAGAGACAGCCACTAGAAAGCAGTGTGAAATACAGTTCCAGGAGTTTGCACAGGACTGGCTATGAGACAAGTTCGCAAGAAAAAATTGAGAAAGCACTGGCATCTGTTTGACCTTGTTCAGGACCTGTCCCCTCAGTGAGGGGACTCATTTAATTTTGATCTCTAGAAGGTACCAGAATGAATAACTCTAATGGATCTTGTACAACAAAAATCTTGTAACAGAGAATTTAGAAAGACCTATACAAATACAGTTATCCTCTGCTCTAATTTTCAAAGACACCAAGAGAGAATTTATTAGGAAAAAGATAAGCTTTTCAAGAAATCAATTTCCAACAATTGCATTAACATAGAATTCGGAGAAAGATCACTTTTTTCCCTCCTAGGCTTGAGCAGCTCCTCTTTGAATTCCTCCTCCCTATAACTGTTGACCTCTGCTCTGATGTTGATAAAGGTTGATGACTATGTTCCTGTAAACAAGGGATACAAATAAGGTTGACAACTGTGGTGGATTGACTACTGGTGGTCAATTTGTAATTTGTAACACCCCATTACAGCGTGATGCGGGGTGTGGGAGGCCCTCCTGAGGATTGTTGCCAGTAGCATAAGAGATAGAATGGGACAAGGAGGAAGGCTGTTGAGAGCTGAGAAAAGGCTGTTGGGAGCTGGTAGAAGCTGTTGGGAGCCTGTTGGAAGTGGAGAGAAGCTGTAAGGAACTGTTGAATTTCTTGGAGGACCTTGTCATGCTGGCTTTCCTGATGAACTTGGCTAGTTTCATCCTCCAAGGAGCTTGGGACCTTGTTGGCGCTGAGAATAGCTTCGGTTCACTTTGGGGGAGCTCTGGTCCTCACTCTGAGCATTGCTTCGGCTCAGGAGGGGAAGATGGTACACTGCTCAGTCCCTTGGAGGAGCTTGTTGCATTGGCTTTCCTGATGGGAACTCAGGTGTGCTGATCATTGAAGTAGCTCAGGACCTCACTGTTGCTGAGGATGGCTGTGGTACTTTTTGGGGGAGCTCTGATTCTTATTTTGAGCATCGTTTCTTGGCTCCAGTGTGGATCCCTCAGCCTGTTATCACAGATCCTTCATCCTGCTGGCACAGACTTTCCAGATTCCACTACTGACCTTTGGGCTTCCTAGCTCAGATCCGTGAAACAGGCCTGCATGAGACATTGTCATGGGCTGTAGGCCTCCAGTTGGACTCATGGGAGGCATTGTTATGAGCTCTA